GCACGCAGCTTGACGTCGACAACGTCGGGTCGCGTCGACTCGATACGCAATGGCAGAGGCAGCGTCTCTTGAGGCGGCAGTCGTCGCTAGCACATACAATGTCAAACCTGCAACATGACATGGATAAAGGCGTACGTCCGAGTTTAGTGCGACGGCGTCCCAAGCAATGGCAAAATCAGCGATGGCAACGCGACCCGGGGCACCGAGAGCGAGGATGGTCGTGGCCGGGGCGTGGAACCCGTCGGTCTGCCGGTGCACCGACAAAAGCAGCGTCACGTCGTCCATGCTTTGGGCCGTTGATGCGTTGCGCAGCGAGATGGGCAGCACGCGGTCTTCGTTGGCGAAGAGCGTCACCGGTCCATCTGCGCCTTTCCAGTCGGCCAGCGCGATCGCATCGACGACCTGCAGACTCACGGGCCGGGGCAAGCGGTACCTAATGATAGTATCACTGAGTCGTCCAATACATCAACCATCGAATCAAGCGCACTGGAGCGTTTGCTGGGGCAAGATGCAGTCGACGCCTTCGAGAACAAGGTCGCCGACAGCTTGAGGGCGCAGCGTCAAGAGCACCGAAACACGCGCTTGGCGCGGTGTGAGACTCGCGGCGGCGGGGTAGGCGAGCATGTGGCCGCTGCAGTACGCTTGAAGCTGCGGCAGCACCAGTGCAATGTCCAGTGGGTTGGCCGCCTCGACATCGATGCCGACGAGATCGCCGAGCGCGTAGACGTACGATGTCGCTACGGTCGTTGCCGACGCCGTCGTTTTTGCCTGGAACGGGTTGTACATGAACGTCGCTTTGGCCGCGACAGGGTCCACGAGGCGGCGAACCTCGGACGCGGGCACGAGCGGGCGTGGCGCCAACGGCGTCATCGAGCGAACATCCAGCAGCCGATCCAGTAGTGGGACGACCGTTCGGGTGCGGCTCCCAGGGTCCGACTGCAGTAGTGCCCAGCACGCGCCCTGCCACAATGCCACGTCAATGTCCGTGTGCAGTTCCAAGAACGGCGTCTCGGCATCCGCGCTCTTGGCGGTGACGTCGACGCGCCGGTGGTTTTCTCTTGCGCTGTCAGAGACGCCAAAGCTCGTTGGGACGTTGAGGACCGCCGTCATGAGCTGCCGTGGCGTCGAGAGGAGGCGCGGTGTCGTTGCGGCCGCCATCGTTGTCGGCAGATGCTTGACGCCAAAGAAGCTCGCGTTCGCCATGGCCTTGCGCACGTCTTTTTCGTACGATGGCGGCGGCGCGTAGTAGACGCTCTGCGTCTTCACGTGCAACGGTGCCGGCACGCGGTCGGTCTCGGCCGTCGACGACGAGAACGGCTCGAGGAAGCCGTCGTTCCAAATGTTGGACGGCATCGACACTGGCGTTGCGGACGCGGCGTCCCGTCGCAGCGCCGTGAGCAGCTGCAGGAGCGCGAGCGCGTAGCGCACAATCGTGTCGGGCGACGCGTGGCAAATCCGAGCGATCGCGACGAGCTGGCGCAGCACGAGAAACCGCAAGTGGACCCAGCTCGTCGCGTCGTCGAGCAGCTCGAGCGCGACTTGGTCGAGGAAGAGCGCTGCGCGGAGGTCGGCGACTTTTGGCGGCGACGCGAGGCGGTGCTTGTACACGAGGAGAGACGCCGCTTCGTGCAGGAAGAACGCTTGCTTTCGCACGCAGCGCAAGGGGCCACACTGCGCCGCCATTTCGAGCAAATGCTGCAACCGGAGGTCTACCGAGAGCGACGGAAAGCAGACGACGAGCCGCGCGTGGGTCTCGAGGGCGAGCTGCCGGACCCAAATCGCTTCGTCGGCGGTGCCTGCCACCGAACAACTCAATTCGACGCCAAACAGCACGTATGCGTACCTTTTTGAGCCGAGAGATGGGCGTGCACGGCCACGTAGTAGTCGCCAATGGCCGAAACCAAGCGCGCTTCGAGGCCAAAGCAATGCGCCTTGGCATACAGCACGATCGCCTCGGACGCTTTCTCAATGACTTCGACGTTGAGTTTCACATTGGTCGTGTTGCCACCTATTGAGATTTAGACCAGAGCCAGCAATGCTAGGGTACCTGGAAATGGCGGCGCCACGAGCAGCACAAGGCTCGTCACGTAGCCTTCGAGCGCCGCTGCAAGCCAGAGCGTGTCGCTGAACGCACTCGACGCCCGGCGCTCGTCCTCACGAAGACCGTCGAGGGCCGAGAGGTAGAACTCGAGGGCGTCGCTATAGCACGCGAGGAGGAGGCTGTAGTCGCCCATGAGCTTGCGCTGCCGCATGATCATGCGCCGTCGGCCGCGTGGCTCCTTCTCCAGCAGTCCAAGCAAACCCGTGCCTAAACACTCATCGAAATAGCTCATGATCGCCAGCCATAGCCAGCGTACCGCCACCCGACGACGGCGCCGATGCCGTCGTGGTGGATGGGACCATCGAGCCCGATCGGGTTCGCCCCGGCGTCGCTGCCACCGGTAGCGCCTGCAAAGGAATCGACGCCGACGCAGTGCCATCTTGGAGCGGATCGACTTGCGCCCGAGCTGCGCGTCGGCGGTCGCTTGGTCGGTCGTGGCCGCGGAGCCCGTCTGCTGGTGCTGTCGCACGGCCGCGCGGATCGAGCTCTCAAGCGACATGAGAATCGTGACGGTGAGCGAGTCTAGCACGACTTGGAGGTGCAGTGACACCTACAGACCAACGGGGAGTGACCTGTCGGAAGAGGCAATCGCGGTACCGTCGTGTGGCCGTCGGACAAAGGCGCGGCGAGCGGGAACATGACGAGGTTATCGAGGACGGCGACGTCGTCGAGCGTGCCAGCGCCAAACGCGTGCTCAAAGGCGAAGCACTTGTGGGCGATCGTCGTCGGGAACTGCGCCGCGACCGTCGTAAAGTGGTGGTACGCCTCCCGGAGGTTCTCGGTCGTCGGGCAGTGGCAGATGCCGAGAAGCGCCAATGGGCGGCGCGACGCATGTACCTCTTCGCATGGCAGGTGCAGCACCCGGTTCATGTCGAGGAAGCGGTACTTGATCGCTTGCGAGCTCTCCCACGAGAGCGACCGGAACGGCGAGAGCTCGGCGCTGTAGCCGCCGGGCCGCGTCAAGCTACTGATGGGGATCACGGCTGCGCTCTGGAGGACGCCCATGTACTCCTCGTAGAGCTCCATCGAGAGGTTCCCGACGGGCATTGTGTACACCAAGATCTCGGCGTTTGCATGCAGCCCCATGCCGATGCTGCCGACGCTGGCAATATGCAAGTGGGATCCTCCGGATAATCCGCTCGGCAGACCGGATACCGTGCCAGTTGCGGTTTTCCCGATGCAATACGCCGGCCCCGAGGACCACGTCGCGCACCTAAAGCACGTCCTGGAGACCAAGAAGGCGCACGAGCTGGGGCAGATCCAGGCGCGCGCAAGCTTACGTGTACGTGGCGCCAGCGTTGTGTACGCCCAGGCGGTCGAAGCAGCTACGCGGCGCTACGAGGCGCAGGTGCACGCCCTCAAGACGCAGCTCCTCGAAGACCTCACCGCCGAGCTCAAAATGCTGCGAGAGAACCGCGATGGCGTCACGCTTCTTCGAAAAGGTCTGAGCCGTGCTGCGCGCACGCACCGAATGGTGCCCGATGACGACCGAAGCACGCCCGAGGTTCCGTCCTCCAAGGTCCCCGTCGACACGCTGTCGTCGGTGCTTGTGACCAACCGGTCGCATCGACACAAAGCGCTGGGTTCGCACCGATATGCTTCCTTCAAGACTGCGCCAGCTCCAGCCTTCTTGGCCGACGATCTGGCCGAAATCGCCGTTGCTGTCGTCACCAAGCGCCAGCGACTATCGACGTATCCCGACAGTCAAGAGAGCACTGGATAAGCTCGACCCACCGCGTATCTTAATTTGTATCTTGTACACTGGAACTTGTTTCTGCGTCGCGCAATGAGCCACATCGCTGTGCTTCCAACCCCGACATCCACGGAAGCACGTCTTCGTCACGCGGCTTAGTGCCAAGGTATTGGCCACGTCACAACCAGTGATGCCAACGCGCTTGGTACTGCTACATGTGGGACAAGAAGTGCTCCCTCACTCACCTGGTTTCGGCGCCAACGAATGCTGACGTTATCGCCAAGTGCAATGTCATTTTCAATCCAAAATCAAAGTGCAATGTGGAAGCACATGGCACGACTTGTAGTTGACGCCGTATAGCTTAGCGCTCGCGGAGGCAGCGCGGGCACTGGCACTCAAACTTGTACTCGCTAATGAGCGCGTCGGATTCGACCAAATCAGAATGTCATCGTGCACATACCGAAGGTCGTGCGTGCGCGCTTCGACGTCCTGCTCCGTTTCAATGTACGCAATGCAGAGCTCGTCGCCCGTCTACAGACACATCAAATGATAAGTACAACGAGAATCTGAGCCAACGCCCAACGAACCGCGATCGGCGCCAAGGCGACGACGGTCGCGAGACCGTTCGATTCGTAGCAGACGGCCACGTTGGGCTCGCAGCTGTGGTTCATCGTGCACACGAGCGAGAAGAGCGCCGTGCCATCCAAGTCGGGGTACATAATGTCGTCTTCCTCTTCCTCTTCATGTCCGTCGTCGTCGTCGTCGTCGTCGTCGTCCATGTGCATCTTGACCTGGACACGCACTTGGGCCTCCACCACGTCGAGCCAAGCAGCAATCTCAGCGTCGCCCGAGTCTTCGTAGCGCTCGGCGAGAAGCGAGAGCGGGTGGCGCACCTCCATGCTGATGTTGTTCATCTCAAACATGCCGACGACGTTGGCGAAAAAGTCGACCGAGAGAAACCCGTTCGCGATGCCATCGGCCACGACGTTCTCCCAGTGCAGGCCGCTCATATAGTCCGACGCCTCGTCTGGGTGCGGCTCGTGCAGTGCCAAGTGCGCCACATTGAAGCGAAGACCGTCCATGAAGAGCGCAAAAGTCTCTTCGAGGAGGTGCCGGAAGACGCCGCAGTACTCGTCCATGCTCTGGCCTTCCTCGAGGTCCTCTTCCGAGGCAACGACCTACGCAATGAATAGCGTGACGGCAGTTGCCGTGGACATGGTTCTACCTCCCACCACGGCAGCTTGCAAAACATGTCGACGGGCCGACGCGCGGCCGCCAGGTCCTGGTCCTTGGCGTACGCGACACAGATGCGGCCGAGCACTTGCGCTGCGAGGAGGAAGATCTCGTTCGTGTCTACGTTTGATGTAGTAGAGCCAAGGCAGGACATGACGTCTACCGATGGCGTGCTGCAGAAAGTCGTGCATTGGCGTGTCCGGGTGCCCCGTGCAGAGCGCGCAGTGGTAGCGTTCCCAGGCCGCGGACCGGCACGTCGGTGAGCAATAGATGGCGCCGCAAGCGCACGTGCACTTGCCGTTCACGGGTACCTTGCCCACGAGCTGGTTGGGCAGCGGCGGCACTGCACCGACCTCGACGTGCAGCACATGGGCGAGCTGCTGCTCAATCGAGCCGACAATGACGTGGCAATTCTCGCAGCCTTGGACGAGCGACTAGAGCAGGCTATCTGCGCGGGTTCTCAAGTGCGTTCAATGTATACCTGGTTGGGAATGTGCTGCATCGACACGAACGGCATCTCGTGGAAAAGGGGCTCGCCCGGCCCAAAGGATTTGGTCGCGAAGAGCGCTTTGCCCTTGGACGCAGTCATGCCATAGCTACGCTGCAGCGTTAGCACCACCAGCTACGTCGCACGAGCGCACCGAATGGGCTTGCCTGCGGCCAGGCCCGCAAAGTACGTTGCTGTTGTCGTCTCGGTCGGCGAGGCCATCGTCGTTTGAAGACCCGAAGCCATTGGCCATGCGTAAGCCAATCAAATGCGACCACAAATCCCAACAGCCAATCCAATCTCCGTATGGCCGATCCAGGTCTTACTTTACCTTGCTGGACGCGCTCCATACCGGTCGACGGTGCTCATCGCAGTCTCTGCTGTTTCAAACTGCGGTCATAGCCTTGCGCATGAAGCTGAGCGTTATACATAGAGGGCCCAAGGCGTCCAAGCTTCGCATGGTGTTCTAGTACGGGTTTGGGAGGGGCCGAGAAATTCCATGTCTAGCGCTTGCGTGTGCCAAGCGGTATGTGGCGTCGTCCCATGCATGTCCACGAACCTACTCTGTACAAGGCCGAGTCAAAGCTTGAGGCTGGAGCGTATCGTCCCTGCATCAGGCGCGTCCCATCCCCTAGAGGTTCTACGCGACTTCCCGTTCTCTTCACATTGATGCCCGCGTAGGAGGTCCAGTCGACCCCAAACGTCATCACTGGACCTTTGGTTTTGAGTCGTCGGCCAACTGAAGCGTAGGGCTGGAGAAGGTACTGACTGGAAGGGTCTCTGTCTGCCGTAGCGTCATCGCCAAAGAGCGCAGCTGGCATGGCAGCAGCGTGGGCACTCGAATCAAGCGCGAGACGTTGCAGACAAAACGACGGACGCTACGTGCAAGGCTGTGGCACCATCCTACCATCCATCGAACAGCATTTCCTCCGCGCGCAAGTACCTTTCCAATAGAAAGCAGTACGTGTATTGTTGACGGCTACGCGACGGATCAGGCAATGTGGTGTGCATTTGCTGGTGGTGATGCCGATGCGACACGAAGGCGCCGCGAAGCTTCAGCCGCCGCCAGCGAACTTCCGCGGATTAGCCCATGGGCGAGGCTCTCGCGATCACGGTGCGTGTCGCAGGTGGCGCCACCTGTTGTCCCTCGGGCGCCAAAAATAACCGTTTCTCGAAACCGCCCCATCGGTTGCAAGTAGAAAGGCCATCCGATGATGCTGGCGGTCGCGAGTGGGCCGCCGCAGTCGCCGCGGGTGCTGGACAATGCGCTGCATCGGCGCATCCGACGCATCTTCTTTGGTCTCTACACGTCGCAGCTCGTGCTGCAGGTGGCCGTCGTTTCGATCCTCGAGGGCGCCGTCTCCAGCGTCGACCTCGACAAGATTGTGATTGGGCAGCAGTACATTTGGCTCCTTGTCGTGATCCTCCTTCTGTGCCTCTTAATCTTGTACCAAAAGCGGTGCCCGTATCCTGCGAGCCTCGGCGTCTTGAGCACGTACACGGCCGTGCAAGGCGTGCTCCTGGCCGAGCTCGACCACCGCGCAACCGTCCCGATCTGCCTCGCGTTTGACATCTCGTTCTTGGTCACGCTCGTCGTCATGGGCGCCGTCTCGCAGTACGCCACGTCATCGACGACGCTCGTGGGCTTCCGCACAGCGGGGTGGCGTCGCTTCTTGTCGTGGCCCTTGTTGCGACGGCCGTCAACTTTGGCGCGACCCTCTTTCGCTACCCGATCTTCCTCGGCTGGATCGGCACGCTGCTCTTCTTTGGGCTCTGGGTCACGTACGTTGCGTCGCGCATTTCGCACAAGTTTACGCAGTACCTCAAGCACAACGAGCCGCACCGTGTGATGCTCTACTACACGGACATCATGCTCTTCGTCTTCTTCATGTTCTCGCTCGTCTTTAGCTGCATCGCGTTCGAAGGGTGCGCGTGCTGCGGCGCGTCCGACGACATTCCTGGCGTCATCGACTTCCGCTTCCCGCTCGACCCGTCGCCGGCCACAGTTTTGGTGCTGCGGCCCAACGCCGTCCAGCCTGATGCCGGCACGGCGCCCGACACGGCCGAGGTCATCGCACGCTCGTAAGACCGAATCGGTCCGAGGCCATTCGCTAGGTAGACCATAGTATTTGTTTGTGACATGTTGTCTGGTTCCATGACGACCCAACGGGTCCACGCCTTTTTATGGCGACCATTGCGATCCACAAGACAAGGTATCCAGACATGTGATTATGCAAGTGGTGACGTAGGTGGCGATCGCAGGCGCGGGTGCTTAGAGAAGCTTTTGTTTCCGAAAGTGCGCGAGAAAGCGGGCAGCGATGACGTAGCCGAGGCCGATGGCGAGGATGCCGACGCCCAGCGCCACGTACCCGATCGTCGAGCGCGGATCCGGGTACACAAACGTCCCGAGCGCGTCCCAGTTGGGCTCGGTCCACAGCGGCAGGTTGGCGTTGAGGACCTTGAAGAGCCCGGGCGTCGTCTCCTTCTCGAGGCCGGGCGAGTACGCGTCGTGGAAGTGGGCGGCGCGCGTCTTGCAGACACCCGGGTAGACGCACTCGAGGTCAGTGCCCTTGCAGTCTTTCGAGAGCTTGCACGTCGCCGTCGTGGGTTCCCCGAGCGCGGCTGCCAAAAACGATCGCGTAAACACCTCGTATGCGTTCGGGAACAAGCTCAGCGTGTTCGAGTCCTTCCAGACAACGTCGTCGGCAACGGAGGCGACCGTGCCGCTAAACGTGTTGTTGAGGACAGCCGTCGCGACGCGATCGCTCGAGTAGACGCCGGCGTAGAGCGTCACGGGCGACATGGACGACGGCCACGACGTCGCCGTCAGCGTCAAGTAGTCGATCATCGAGTTGACAAACGGCGTCGAGACCGCCTTCATGAGCGGGCACGACCAGTCGGTCGTGATGCACGCGACCATTTCGGCCACGAGCGTGCCGTTGACGACCGGCGTCGAGCCGCTGCCCGCCGCGGACGCAAAGAGCGCTTCTGCGAGCACCTGCGCCGCCGTCGTGACGGCCGTCGCGTCAATCGACGTGTTCAAATCGAAGCGACTGTGGTACGCCGCAGGAAACGCCTTGTCGTAGCCCGAGAGCACGGCCGCGACAAGCGACGCGTTGCCGTACTCCTTGTCGTTCAAGAACGACACGAGCGGACCTGGCGGCACGCCGCTCACCGAGCTCTTGGCCACGGCGCCGAGGGCCGACGGCGCTTTCGTGAGGCTATCGACGACCGATTGCATGGCTGCGGTGGGCGCCGACGGATTGATGTGCACCGAGAAATTGGAGCCGACACCGACTTGGTCGATGGCAATCGCCGCTTCGATGCGTCCCATGGACAAGCCCGAGATCGCGACACTGGTCGAGAGCGGGCGGGCGCAAAACGCCGTCCCAAACGGCGTTGTGGCCGTGATCGTGCGCGCACAGTTGTTGGCCTTGGCCGTCAGGTCGGCGAGGAACCGGCGAGAGCCCACAAAGCCGTACGCTTCGGCTTGGAAGGCCGCAAAGACAATGTGCTTGCTCAACGCCGAGCTCGGAATCGACTTGAAGGCGTCGGCGGCCGCGAGGAGCGCGACGAGACCCGACGCGCCGGCATTGGCACCCGGCGCGTAGACATGCGAGAACGCGTTCGTGTCCATGGCTGCCATGGCCATGAGGATCGGCTTGGGCGCGCTCAGGTCCCCCTTGACGCCCCACGAGCTTTGGCCGCCGACCGGGTAGCACTTGGGGCTGCGCTGGTCGCGGATGTTCTTGAAGCCCAAGCACGTGGGCGAGTCCATCTTGGGCGGGCCAAAGTAGTACTTCATGAGCGAGCGGTAAACAACGCCAAACGACGAGTCGGTCGGAACACCGTCGTTCTTGGCCGCCAGCGTGACGAAACGCTGCGCCGCGTCCGCCGACTGCACTTGCACGACGGGGTACGGGAAGCTCTCGCCCATCAGGTTGCGACCAAGCGGGTTCCACGAGTAGTTACCGAACGTTGGGTTGAGCGCGCCGTCGATCGTGCCCGCGCCTTGAGGGCTCGGCGCGTCCAAGTTGTACGTCGTCGCGTTGCTGCTCGGTGGGTAGATAAGAAGCCCCTTCGTGTACGTGGCATCGAATTTGGCCACGTTGGCCTTCGTGAAGAGAGCCTCGGGCATAATGAGGATGCTAGACTCGGCGAGCACGAGGCCATTAAGCTGGTCTTGCGTTGCGACGTTCACAAGGCGAGCGCGGGTCCCCTGCTTGTCCAGGCTGTGGCAGCCGACGTCGCCCTTCGAGTGGAAGAGACGGACGCATTCGCCGGCGGGAACGATCGGATTGCCGGGCGCGCCCGCGGTCACGGCGCCGCCCTCGGCCATGGAGGCGACGCAGGCTGCGAGGAGCCAAGCGACTACGCGGCAAGGACGCACCATCGTCGGTCGCTTGAATACAGAACAAGCGTCCCGACATTCCACGTTCGATCCGGATACGTATCCGGCTCGGTGGCTGTGAGATCCGCATAGAGTATCCGGAGAAGATCCTTCGGATTATGCGGATGTATATCCGGATGTCGTTGCCGGGAACCGAATCTCCGCTAGCTTCTCAGAAGCGTCTCACTGGCTGGCACTTTCTGAAGGCTTTCCCAGATGGCGCTGGCCATCATCCATTGGGCACCGCAGGTGGCAAATTGCCCTTCGCCGCCCATCCCCGTAATATCGTGCTCTGGTATTACAAAAATCTGGTTTAACGCAAACGAAGCAGCCTTTTACGTGTACTAGTACTATAAATCCAGTATACTTATGCACGAAGCTATAAGTAGGATCATGACACGAGACGCGTTGTCGAGGCCAGGGGCGTTTTCGCAGCGATCTTCTTCGTCGACTGGCCCTCGGCTGCCTTCTTATCCGGACATGTATCCGGAAAATGATGTTGAAGTGCTTTGAAACGACCATGGGCTTCGTGGCACCAGTGTCCTGGTCCGCTCATACAAAGTTCAAGATTCCTTGGGATGTGGCGGCTACAAATCGGACAAGTCCGAATTCTGCACATGTCCCAGGCCGATCCTTCCGGACCGGCCACGACAATTAAATTGTTGATGGCGGCGCGCCGGTTTTTATTCCCATTTGGCGCCTCAACGACGTGTTTATGTAAGGAGATTGAATTAAACAAAGGATCGTATTTAAAAAGAAGGGGCGATTTCTGGTCGGACCGGGAGGCCACGCTTAAATGTGGCATGTTGACGTCATATGTGGTGAAATCCATCCACACATTTCTTCGGCGGTTCATTTCCGGTTTGCCTCCGCCGAGCTCAAGACGTACGAGATTGCACTTGTCGTAGCCTAAGATCTAAGTCTGTGTCTAGTTGCTGCTACCATGAGCCTCTTTGCGTCCACCCTGCGCCGCGCCGCCGCCAAGACGTCCACGAAGGCCTTCTCGACGTCGACGAGCTCGCTCTTCGAAGTGCTCAAGGAGCAGGTCCCGCTCCGCCAGGAAGCCATGAAGAAGCTCAAGGCCGAGCACGGCAACAAGGTGCTCGGCGAAGTCACGGTCGACCAGTGCATTGGCGGTGCCCGTGATGTCAAGTGCATGCTCTGGGAAACCTCGCTCCTCGATGCCGAGGAGGGTATCCGCTTCCGCGGCTACACGATCCCGGAGCTCCAGAAGAAGCTCCCGACCGCCGTCGAGGGCGGTGAGCCGCTCCCGGAAGGCCTCATCTGGCTGCTCTTGACGGGTGAGATCCCGTCGAAGGCCCAGGCCGACAGCTTGACGGCCGAGTTCCACGCTCGCTCCAAGCTCCCGGACCACGTCAAGGCCGTGCTCTGCGACTTGCCCAAGAACATGCACCCGATGACGCAGTTCTCGATCGCCATCATGGCCATGCAGACGGACAGCATCTTTGCCCGCAAGTACCAGGAGGGTATCCACAAGTCGACGTACTGGCACCACACGTACGAAGACATGCTCAACGTCATTGCCCGCATCCCGGAGATCGCCGCCACGATCTACCGCAACTCGTACTTTGACGAGTGCCTCGACATGCAGTACGACTCGTCGGTCGATTACGCCGCCAACTTCGCGCGTCTCCTCGGCTACAACGACCCGCATTTCGACGAGCTCATGCGCCTCTACCTCGTGATCCACAGCGACCACGAGGGCGGTAACGCCAGCGCGCACACGACGCACCTTGTCGGCTCGACGCTCGCGGACCCGTACCTCTCGGTGGCCGCCGGCCTCAACGCCCTTGCCGGCCCGCTCCACGGCCTCGCCAACCAGGAAGTGCTTGGCTGGATCATGGACCTCGACGAAGAGTTCAAGTCGAAGAACCTTGCCGTGAACAAGGAAACGATCACGCAGTTCGCTTGGGACACGCTCAACTCGGGCAAGGTCATCCCGGGCTACGGCCACGCCGTGCTCCGCAAGACGGACCCGCGCTACTCGTGCCAGCGCGAGTTCGCCCTCAAGCACATGCCCGAGGACCGCCTCTTCCAGATCGTCGAAACTATTTACCAGGTCATGCCGGGTGTCTTGACGGAACACGGCAAGACGAAGAACCCGTACCCGAACGTCGACTCGCACTCGGGCGTGCTTCTCCACCACTACGGCCTCACGCAGAAGAACTACTACACGGTGCTCTTCGGTGTCTCGCGCGCCATGGGTGTGCTCTCGCAGCTCTTCTGGGACCGCGCGCTCGGCCTCCCGCTCGAGCGCCCCAAGTCGGTCACGTCGGAATGGATCAACAACAACTTCAAGAAGTAAGCGCGCCTCCAACCACGACTGTACTCGTAGTATACTATTACTATCTAACACACAAATCACACGAGATGGGCTATATTCCACCACGGTCTCGCTACATCGACGACTAGCAGAAAGCTCAAACAGCCATCTCGACCACCGGCCCGTCCTCTGGTCGGGAGGGATACCCCGTGGCGCGTCATGGACACTTTCTTGACCATGATCCGGCGTCGCAGGATACCTTCTTGAAGTGGGCGGCGATTGGTGCTTGGCCTGCGCCTGCACAAATCGCACCCGATTTGCTAATCATGCTCGCTGCCAGTCGTTGGCAACCGACGATGAAGGCAACGGAATCCGCTGCCGGCAGCTGGGCGCGGAGAACAGCGGCCTGCTGGGTACCGACAACACACGACCAAGATACGGATATGGATTGCATATTGAAGCCGCGACTGCTACTACATGCTCTACTCTAGTCGCCGCCGTGCATAAAGTGCTCCATGGCGGCCGAGAACGCAGCCATGCCACCGCACGCGAGGCACTGCGCCTGGACGCCTTGGCCCGCAGCAAAGACGGCGCCCGTCGCGCAGCCTGCGATGGCCACGCTCGTGATGTCGTGATGGCCACGACCCTTGTCGACGAGGCATTCCATGCCCGAGATCATTGCTACACAGACGATAGAAGATATGTTGCTGCACGCGGGCAGCCGCAAAACGAACCCGAGAAGAAGAGAAAGTTGCGGCCCCATGACGTGCTCTTCTCGCCGATCATACGCCCCGACACTTGCAGCTGGAACCAGACGCCGTTAGGAGAAGCCTCGAAGCATGGACACGCACGCTACCTGTTCACGCCACGGCACCTTGGGCAACTCGCGCTGACCAGGCACTGGAATCGGTGGAGTAATCGCTTCGTACGAGCTCAAGAGGAGGCCCATGGCGCGGCCGAGCACGTAGCCTACAAGGCTTCAGTCATCGCAGCAACGTTGGTGGCTACGCACCCATCGCGCCCGACGTGATGGTCTTGAAGGCGCATGTATCTGCGATCGAGATCGGGTAGAAGTTCGGGATGGCTTGGCCTGGCGCAAAGGACGTGCTCCGAGGAAATGTGAACGGGTTGAACGAGTACGGGTACGTCGTCGCCGGCGACGGCGTCCCCGACGGCGGCTTCACCACTGGCTGCTCCTCCATCTCCAATGCAACTTCACTCGCCGACGGAGCAAAAACCCCGCGTATCCGGAGTACTCCGGATAATGGGACCATCAACCGGTGGCAACCTTTCTCCTTTCACAATGCACACTATTTTGCTCGTCATGACGTGGCGCATGCACAAGCATACCTGCAAACCATGCCTGCAAACTTGGAGTTCTTGGTTGTATCGGAGCATGGGTGTTCCAGGGTATGTGACGACCCCAATGGACGACTTCTTGTTCAAGTTGTCTTTCTTCGTTTCGACCGAGTAGAGTGCTCTTGCAGCGGGCATGGCTGACGTCGACGGCGTATACGACAACCTTGCGCTTCCCGCAATCAACTCCAAACCTACAAGGTTGCTAGAGCTTGTAAAGCCGGCAGTCAGCGGGTCGTTCCACGATACAGTACGAGCAATGTGCCAGAGGCTTGCATCTATACGTATAGTAAACTTGTTGACGCATTAGCATATCACTCCTGGTCGCCAGCGACGAGGAAGAGTCCGTCGACTGTTCTTGACGCTTGCGAGCATGATGTGAGGGACCGCGCAGGGCACGTGCCAGGCTTTAAACGCGAGGATGGGATGCCAGCTATCACCTTTGCTGGCGCATCCTCAACTGGACAGAGGACAGAGGCATCTATCAGCTTGTCGCTCGAAGGACCCACTACATTCCCTGCCATTCTTCGCGCGGTATGCTTGCTCGGCTTGTCGTGCTCCTCTTCGGCGTTGTAGCCGCATCGTCATCGACCGCCGTCTCCATCGATGCGCTCGATGGTTTTGGCCAGCCTGTCGACTGGTGGGCGATTCTCAAGCTGCCGTCGCAGGTCAAGAACGCGGCCGGCAAGCTCGTGCCGACATGCGACTGCGCCGCGCCATCGTGCACGGGCGACAAGTCGCGCGGGTCTGGCCTCTGCTACCTCTACGCCGACGCCAAGCACCCGACGTTCCGGTACTTCAAGGACCTTGGCTACGACTGCCTCGGCCAAGGCGGCAATGACCCGCTGAGCCAGACGCTCAAGCAAAAGGCGGCGTCGCCGTACTGGGCGTACTACAACGACCAGTTTTACGCCATCGCGCAGGGCGAGAGCACCGCGCGGCAGTGCTCAGGCACGAACGCCTTTAACGCACACGCCAAAGGCTTCTTGGCGTTTGACGCAAACACGGGCGGCGTCGCGCTGCAGGCGTCGATTCCCAACTACCCAGATCCGAGTAGTGACGACTCGGGCTTTGTGCCGCTCGGCTGCCAAGGCGAGGACAACGTCCAGTACGCCCAGCACCTCTTTGCCATGTCGCTTCCCGCGACGAGCATGGACGCGCTGGGTCGCGGCCTCCAGGTCGCACGCGTTTGCTCGGCCAACTTTTACAAGGCGGACGCAGAGATCATGACGAGTGCGTCGTTGCGGGCAGCGGGCGTCCCGTCGTCGCTGCAGTCGATGGCCGATGCACTCACCAAGCCGCGGCTGCCCAAGACGCCATCGACGACGCTGGTGCTCCAGACCAAGGCACAGATGGCGATCACGTCTGTCTTCAAGGCCGGCGTCGATGCGCTCCCGCCGTGGGCCCTCGTCGCGCAGTCGCTCGACACGGACGTGAGCGCAGCGACGTGGTGGGACGGCGCCAGCGGCATCCCGACGCTCTGTGCGGGCGACGTCTACGCCTCGGCGTCGCACGCTTTCTGCATCGGCCGCCCACTCAACCTCACAGCCGACGGCACGTTTGCCTTCAATGTCGAGAACCTCGTCGCAGCCACGTACAGTGTGGATCGTTTGATACTACGCTGCTTCATCTGGGACTAGGTTTCCGCTGCCACAAATGGGCCAAGTGTCGTGGTCCCTTCTCGGCGGCGTCGGCGCCGGCGGCAACCATGGTACGCGTCGACCATACTGTTGTCTGTACCTATAAACACGCCGTGTGTAGCCAAGTGGGGTCTCTCGACGCCGCGGAAGACGGGGACGAGATCACTCTCGGTCTTTGGCGACCTCAACATGGAGGGCTTCCCGTGCTCGACCAACTGCGCGGGCTCCCAGGGCGGGCGCGGCGGCTCCTTCCACGCGCTCAACGTCCCCGCGCTTCACGAGAGCTTGGCGAGCCTCGTGTCGTCCGTTTGCTCGTGCGAGATGGCGTCCAACAGCACCGGCTACGTCCAGGCGCGGATGTGCAATGCTGGCTGCTACAAGCGCATGGGCTCGACGTTTCGCGAAGAAGAGCTGCCGACGCTCACAACGAGCATGAGCTACTGGAGCAAGAACGCAGCACTCGCCCGCAACCACTCCAAAAACACATGAGTCATTTCCTTCACGCGAACTTTTACACCCAACTCCACTCGTGATTTGCACCTGGTCAGCTGCTCATGATGGGGCGGGGTCGACCTGTGTCGAATTGACACTGGTGCGGTGGCGACGAGGAGCGCCCGAAAGGTCGTGTCGTCTGATGCATTGGTATGTGTACCCACCTCGAGCCTGCAAACTCGTTGATACGCTGACGAACAGTTGTGAGCAGCTCTTGTGAGCCCCGTTGTCGTCTGGTCGTCTGGACGCATGAATGATATCCGAAGCATATTTCGTATTGTCGACAAGTTTCTATGAGAGCTTCTGGGTCTTCTTGCCTCCTAGGAGAAATAGTTATGGATATCATATTGCAACACTGGCGCGAGCGAGAAGACAGCAGCTGACAGCGAAGACTCATACAATTGCAATGGCCGAGTCCCCACGCCAACTGGTCAAGCTAGAGCTACCGCCGGGCGCGAGGCTTGGTGTTGCGATCACACCGCCCACGAACGGCGTCACGAACCGTGGCCTCAAGATCGACAAGGTCCTGAACGAGCTCTTCTTTGGCCGCATCAGCCATGGCGACCTCCTTGTCGAGATCGGTGGTACGCCGCTCGATGGCATGACGTTTGCCGACGCGGTCAACCTCATCAAGACGAAGCCACGCCCGCTTGCACTGACGTTTGAGATTGCACCCGCGCATGAAAAGACGGCCGCCTCGGCAGAGGACCTTAACCTGCCGTCGTACAATGTGGTGTTTGACGACGCCAAGATGGGCATCAACCTCGAAGCTGGCGCGCGCTTTGGCGTTGATGGCGCGATCGTAAAGGGTGTCCGCGACTTCGCTGAGGAGTCGGGTATCGCGTCCGGCGACATTCTGTACAAGGTCAACGGCACCGAAGTGCTCTTTATGTCGCTCAAGCAAGTCCAGAACCTCATCAAGGCCACGCTGCCGCCGCGGTCGCTCGACTTTATCCCAAATACGATTCTCGAGGAGGTCCAGCTCATAAACCTCAGCATGTCGGTTATCGAGAAGAATGCGCGCGTCGGCCGTGCCGGGGTCGGCTTGGCACGGACGCCGCTGAAGCCGGAAAAGTCCATCACGGAAATCATCCAAGAGAACCGATTGACGGTCATCAAAGAAGGCCCGCTGTACCAACTAGACGACAAGACCAAGATATGGAAGGCGTGTCATGTCGTGCTTGCAGTCACAAAGCTCGAGTACTTCAAGGACGCCAGAGATAAGACGGTGCAGGGTGTTGTCAACTTTGTAGACTGCCTTTGTACCGTGCGGTCGCTGCCGTCAACATCGGCCAACCTCATGGATGCACACGTCGACTACGTCCTCGAGCTTGAGGCTGGCGACCGCAAGCTCATCATGGCGTGCTTATTCGAGGAAGAGAAAGTGGAGTGGCTCGAGGCGCTCAAGGTCGCTATTGACGCGTCCAAAACACTCCAGAGAGCGTCATTGGTCGAGTCAACGCAGCTCGAGCGCAGTAGCCGCATGCCCTCGATCCTCGAAGAAGGTAGCACATCGATGCTCTTGTGTACAAATCATCAGCTCTCGTTGCCAGGCATCAATGGTACACTGCAGTCGATTCCCGAGGGGCAGGAAAAACCGTTAATCGCCAGCACTACTTCGAATGGCCCAACTGTCGACATCGAGATCCTCTCGATCCAGACCCCCGCCAAAGCCTCCTCCCAAGTGGTATGTACCGCAACATCTCTAGCGGCAGTGGTAATCGCTCCATCGATCTAGATGAACCTGTTCTGCGAGGTGACGCTCGGCTCCGAGACGTTCAAGACATCGGTCGTCACGGCCTCGCTCAACCCGCAATGGACAAAGGACAACAAGGTCACTTTTGACGTCCCAGGCGACGACGACGATATTGAAATCCGCGTCTACGACGAGCGCATGTACATCGGCCCTGTGTATATGTCGGTCGTGGCGATCCCGATTGCGTCGCTGCCCAACAAGACCACGATGAAGCAGACGTACGCGCTCATTCCAGCGGCCCGCAGCGCCAAATCGTCCATCACGCTTTCTCTGCGCTACAACAACGCCAAACTGGACCAAGAGAAGACGTCGGAGCCGGAGTACGAGGTGCGAATTAGTCGGTGTTGTTCGCTGCAGTCGTTTACTGTTTTGCTAGGTGGGCCCACCCGTCATGACCGCGACCAGCTTGAAGACGTCCAAGACGCCTGACATCCAAGAGACGCTTCACCAACTCCCCGCCACGGAGCCCAAGGACAACAAACTCGGAATGCTGAAGGCAGTCCTTCAACGCCCTGAAGGCGACATCAATAAAACCGACGAGGTACTGCCGCACCCAGCCTCTGAGCTCCTATTCTTATGTTTCCTGGTGGTAGCTTGGGTACACAGCCTTGGCGCGCGCGGTCCTCGCGGGGCAAGATCATGTTGTCAACGGCCTGCTTAAGCGTGGAGCGGACGCTTGGATCCCCCTTCCGGTACACTATATTCCTACTATTATGTAGCACGAGTCATGTACATCTAGATGAAGCTGACTACGCTGGCAGAAGCGGTCAAGCGCGGGCATCGTAGCATGGCCCGAGTGCTCTACGATCGCATGTACCCGGGTCCTATCACGATGGTGCGTGATGCATGCTACCAAGAGGGAGGCAACTTCTTCTAGGCGTCCATGGACGGAATTACGGACTTGAGCTTGATGACGCGCCAAGCCGGTTCCGATGTCGACCTCTACCGAGCTACGTACCGTGGCAAGACTGTGGTGCTCAAGGGCCCGCGGTACCCTAATACGCGCCTCATGAACCTCATTCACAACGAGGTGCACGAAATGCAAGGGTACACTCCTCGATTCCGAAACGAAGACCCGATCGCGCAATGCGTTAGATGTACGTCGCCGTACGTGCAGCCGCTGCTTGCTGTCATCGACAATGGATCGCACGAGCCGCTGATCACGATACCCGACTGCGGCGCACTGTACAGCCAACGATGGTCATCGAGTACATGGACTGCGGTGACTTAAGCATGACATTGAAGAACGCGCGCTATGGCGTGGATGTGCCATTGCCAGTCTCGACAGTCCAGGTGGCCCTCGTGCTCGCCAAAGCCCTTGCGGACCTCCACCGCCTTGGCAAAGTACACCGAGATGTCAAGAGCCTCAACATCTTCCTCTCGACAGAGCACTACATTCGTCTCGGCGATCTCGGCTCGGCGCGCACCCTCGACGACAGCATGTCGTCCAACGTCGGCACCAAGTTATGGATTGCGCCCGAAGTCCATCGAGTCGGTCGCAGTGGCAGCGGCCCCGGATATAGCACATCTGCTGACATCTACTCGTTCGGCGTCGTCCTCACGGAGCTCGACACGCGCGAGATGCCATACGCCGACATGGCCGACAAGGATGTCACCCCCCAACAAGTGCGCGACGGCAAGCTGCGCCCGAAGATGAGCGACAACTGCAAGCCATGGCTGCGCGCTCTCGCCGACCAGTGCTTGGAGCTGAACCCCGCCAAGCGCCCGACAGCAGAGGCGATCATCGACGTGCTCACCGCACATCTGCATGACGACGACTGCACTTCCATCTGCTGGATACGGTCCCGCCGCTTAAGCGACACAGGACCAAGGAGGTAGCACCCCCAGTCGATGGCGCAAGTCTGGTTAGCCACAGCATGATTAGGTTAGCCTCCCGAAAAGCAGCGCTATCGACGAATTTGCGCCCATATTGCACTTGCATTTCCCAATTTGAACAAAAATTGCATGTTGAAATGACTTGAAAGCACAGATCTGCTAGGATCGATTGCGCGCTGCCAACTTGCTTGGGGTGCGAGCTGGAGGCCAGCGGGGACAACCACGACGTCGCATCGTCCTGAAGGTCCACCTGCGTGTCATCATTGGTGTACACATCAAATGAGTGCGCAACCAGGTAGCAAAATATCGGCTCGGAACCAACTCGAGATCGCCTGCATTCAAGGACTTAAAACTGGTATGTGTTGGCGCGACCCGTGATGCCGTTAAAGAGGTACGTGTGGTTGATCGGCGTAAACTGGTTCGTGATGATCTACGATGTCTCACATCAGACGCTGCAACCAGTGGCGGTCGTCTGTACCTTGACAGCCTCCTGCGACGCGATGCCTCCGAGGATCGCTGCAATGTTGTGCACCTCGGCCTCGGCGTGCCGGCAGACTTCGCGGCCGTGGTCCAGCGAGATCCAGTCGACCGGAAACGGCTCCGACGTCGTCGCACTCGCCGCGAGGAGCTGCGCTGTCTGTACGAGCCACTTGGCGTCCTGTTCGTACTCGTGGCCTTCGTGGACCCCGGGGTACTTGTTAAACTAGCGCCACAGAAAACGATTCGAGTCTTCGTTTATCGCAAACCGTGGCGTGTACCTCGGCGATAAACCGGTGCACGGCGCGGAGCAAGAAGTACCAAATGAGCGGCGACTGCTTGCTGTCTTCGTCCTCCATGTCGACCTACGGAATGCGTGAGATGGACGACCTCTTTGAAACGAGGCGTACGTCGGCGAGGTTGGCGCCCGCAACTTCCTCAGCGAGCGACCGCGTTTGCAGCATCTGTCCGTGGACCGTTGTTAGCACGAAGATCAACATACTGCAGCGAATCTGTACCCCAATGCAGCTCGCGTGCTTGCAAAAGTCGATCGTCTCTTCTTCCGAGAGCGTCCTATTCAATAAAAGTGGTGATTAAAATCGCACATTTTGACACTCAAAATGAAACATACCGCGTGGGGTCGATCTCGGCGAGCAGTTGCTTGGTGGCGTTGAAGACAAGGTGCGCGTCAGACTTGGCCTTTTCGCTGTAGAGCTTCTGGATCGTCACGTAGTACGCTGTGAAGGACGTCATATCGGGCACGTGGCCGCTGTGGGGCAAGCTCCCGTGCGCCGCCACAAAGCCCGCGAGCGCCCGCGCAATGAACCAGAACGTCGCCGTCGACGCCGTGAGCGTCATCGTCGACGCATGCGCCAAGACATCGCGGACGTCGTCCGGAATCGCATCCTGCAAGCCCACATAAGCACTTGGTAAATTCCTGGAATAGACGACGACCTTGGTCAGCGTGTAGGCTTTGAACGCGTTGTCGACGGCTTCCGAAAAGTTGAGTTCTTGGCCAAACGAGCCGCGCGCCTTGGCCTGCACGAGCGCCTTGAACTCGTTCTTGGCGACGAACGTCCTGCGCAGGCTCATGAGTGCCAGACGGAAGAAGATGGAGGCGGGAGAGTGAGCACATACTTGGGGAGGTCGCCGCCGTGGGCCGCCTTCCACTCGTTGATGGACTGGATGAGGATGATCACGTACGGCACATGACCATGCTCGTGCGAGTTCATGGTCTCGAGGTTGAACTCGTTGGCAAAGCTCTAGTCCGTCGTCATAAGGTTCTGTACACACGTAAGAGGACGCACGAGAAGCTCGGGGAAAGGCTCGGCGATGCGCAAGTCGTGGAACGGCGCGTCGGGCTTGGAGTCGACGATCGTGTGGTTGGGCACTTGCAAGCGCACGTAGCCGAGGAGCCCAAACGAGTGAACAATCTACAATGCAATGTTAGACTATGGCCATGACCTTCCAGCAACGTACGAGAAGCGGGATCGCGTGGCTCTGGCACGTCGCTGCAAGTGCGCTCAGCGCAGGCTCGGCCAGCTGCGTGGCCACAATCATGTTGAACTTCTGGATGTACATCGGGTCTAGAATCACAAGCATCCGTGGCACCTTGCTCGTGCGCGACGCGACCGTACCGTA